CATCAGGTACCTTGTTGAAACGTTGTACATTTGCTGTCATGTTAAACTTATATTAAAGTTTTTCTTCATTACCCATTCAAGCCGTCTCCAGCCATTGTTAGTCTCAAAGTGGGTTCCTCGTCATTGAACTTTTGCTGTCTTAAAGAATTACCAGTGCATTCAGTCTTTTGAGGTCACTCTCTGTCATTCCAGGCTTGTAACTACATGTAATAAGAAATGGTTGTGAAATGTAAGCTAATTGAATCAGAAATTTTAGGTTTAGTTTGTTCTGCCATTTGTAGGTGAACTTAGAATGATCCCTAACTGTTTTATATCTTTGTATATTGAGTATTCTGTCATAATCGCATGACAACAGTTTTGTGTATCAAAACAAGTGAAACAAAATAAATACAGGAAATATATCTTATTAAAAAAGTCAATTTTTTTAAAGAAGCTGTTGTATTGTGGTGTTATTCTTGATCAACAGTCATGATGTATGTTTGTTTATATATATATATGTAGAGAGAGAGAATTTTTTTTTGTGTGTATGTTGCAGAAAATGCCTCTTTTTGGCAGCAAGTTCTCCCCCAAAAAGACAACTCCACGAAAATCACCATCTCTCTCTAACCTTACTCAGAGTTTAGACCCTGGTCATACTCAAGAGGAACTGGGTCTTAACTATGGACCAATTAAGCTACGCCTTGGAAATCAACAAGCTAAATTTGAAAATGGACAATGGGTTACAGGTATTTAAAGATGAAAAGATTTCAACAACTAATAACGACAATAGTCTAACTGATAGTCTACTGTCTCAAATTCATTCTCACTGTTGTCTTTGTTTTACAGATATAACCCACAAAATTAACCTTCCATCCATCAGGAACTTGCCTACTGTCTAGTGGCAGTTTAATATTTGAATACTGACCTCTGTTGGCTAAATAGTAGACAATGTTTTGAGCACTGATTGGCTTTTACATTCTCATGTCTATGAAATTGTTGTCTTTAAGTCATTCCCATTTTTAAAACACAATTTGTAACCTTTGGAGTAGCAAACAAGTTAAATATTGAAAAGTTAAGAAAAAACTCCTTCAGATTATTCATATATATATCTAGAGTATTAATAACCAAATTATTTAAACTGAAAAAAAAACCCAGAAAAGTTTATAATAGAAATGAGCTATTTGTGTTCAAGCTAATGAAATTTGGTTTAAATGTTTTCTTAATAATAATTATGGTTATATTTACAAATTATGAAAATGTTCCAATCACAAAAGTTATGCACTAATATTTTCATGAGTTCTTTATGAAGTTTACTCCTTATGAACTGTATAATATTAGTTTATTTAATAAAAACTGTAACATTTTGTTAATAAATTAGTATATATTTACATCTTACGAAGACAATCCTTACCCGAGTCAATTCGATAGGACTTAGAATACAGACTGCTATAGAGTGAGAAAACATGCATGTAAGTTGTATATTTAAGGAAAGATTTATTTATCGAGCAATGGGATTTATCATGATTTTCAAAAAAAAGGAATTAACATATCATTGTAGACAGGAATTGGAGACTTATTTTCCAGTTGTTTATCTGTAATGATAATGTAAGTTGTATATTTAAGGAAAGATTTATTTATCGAGCAATAGGATTTATCATGATTTTCAAAAAAGGAATTAACATATCATTGTAGACAGGAATTGGAGACTTTTTTCCAGTTGTTTATCTGTAATGATAATGGGCGTTTGAATAATTCCTCTGTAGTTTCATTGTAAGGACTTAGATCGTATTAGAGTATCATATTAATTCTGTTTAGTCTCTTCATTATAAGCTCTGGACAAGTTGGAAATGAGCACAAAGAAATGCTTCTTGGATGAGGATAATTTCTATTTTACAATAGAGAGAGAGAGAGATGGATAATCAGGGGGGGGGTGGTTACAAACTTTGTAAAAACTTGTCTTTCTCTTATATATAGCTCTTCCCCCCCCCTCAATTTTCGTGGCACAAAAATATATGTATATAAGCCAACATTAAAAGTTGCACTTAACAAATGAGCAGGAAACATAACAATAGGTGGAACTGTAACTGGCTAAGTAATGTTACCGGTTAACAATGTTAAGTTTGTACCTGGGCATGTATTATCTGAGTTCCTGTGACGTATTGTATATTAAAAAATCTATTGTGTCTGCTGTCTAAAATACTGCTTCTGATGATAGCCCAAGTTTAGACACAGTGTGGTCACACTGCAAGATCTCTATGTTTATGTAGATCACTATGTACGAGTAGGTCAGTATATCTCAGCCCCATGTTAAATAATTTGCTTATGATAGTGTTTTTTTACAAGGAGTAAGATTAAGGAATCCATGTTCGTTTGTTGTAACCATATATTTATCATAAATGTTACACGAAGAGAAGATTAAGAACATTTTGATTACGTTATACAAGATATGAGATGATTGTAGATTACAAGTTACCGTGAAATGTACATTTACGGTAAGTTATTGAACTGCTAACATGAGTTTTTAATATTGTTTCTTAATCACAAGGAAAATTTGTGGTTTTAGTAAACAAGTTTATAAAATTATTTATATAGAACATATTAGGGGAAGAGTGGCTACCCCTGTAAATCATTAGTTATTGTGTACTGCCGTCAGAATGAATTGTATGTAATTCATTCACATGGCCCCCCTATGCAGAAACACGCTGGTGAACAGGCTCAACTTTCTATAATCAAAGTGTGACTTCAGTTTTTTGTTCACAGAGCAGGTTTTCAAGCTCATACATATATTTTATAATATGTACAACAGCTTTATGATGAGAGCCTAATGATAATGCCCCCTTCCCCCTCCAAGGGTTATTTTACTCCACACTGTTGTCATATATTTCTACCATAGGCTTCGGTGCAATTTATGTCATTGCCAAACACTCAACCCACGTTCTTTTGTGTCATTATTCTAAATAATGCACAACTTTCACATACCTTCTCGAGCTCGCTGGAGACCATGCAATCTTCTTGAGCCCCGCTGAAGACCATGCAGCCTTCTTGAGCCCCGCTGGAGACCATGCAACCTTCTCGAGCCCTGCTGGAGACCATGCAACCTTCTCGAGCCCCGCTGGAGACCATGCAGCCTTCTCAAGCTCTGCTGGAGACCATGCAGCCTTCTCGAGCTCTGCTGAAGACCATGCAGCCTTCTCGAGACCTTCCAGATAGAATAGCCCCCAACCACAAGAAGTGCTTTTTTTTCGTATATGAAACATAATGTTCTGTGTTCAGTCTATGTGTTAACTAGAAATGACATTTTAAAACCTTTTACTTTTTCATGACATTCATTTTAATTGGTACAAATTGCATTCAGAATTAAGATGTCCGTCGCACTCTATCTACTTCTGTTAATCTGATTGGCTAATGGAGATCTTAATTGTCTGTATACTGGATTGTAAAAAAATATCTTGATTTTATATGTAAATATTCAGGACAGTTAAACTTGACTTACTTTTAGTGATACATGCAGCTATACAAAATGTATTTTTTGCTAATTATTTCTAATCCTAAGGAGTTTTTATTTTTTCAGAACCAAAAAATGCGAGTGTGTCGTCCAAAGAAATAGAGGAATTAAAACAAGAAAACAAACGTTTGATCGAAGAAAATAATTTCCTGAAGTACAAGTTAGAGATTATGTTAGATTTGGTAATGTTACGAAACCTTTTTTTTTTTTTTCATTTCAGTTATGCTCATCTATTATAGAGTTCAGTTTTCACTAAGATGTTTCTGTGGTGTTTGACGTAAAGTTTATTTAACAAAATAAAAAAGATAAAATTGTAATGCAAGTAAAATTACTTTTTTATACGTGAAATAATGTTCAAGTAAAAATTTAATCTGCATTAATCCCGCAAAAAGAGATTAACGTAATACTTATAACCTACTTGTAATTTTCCAAAAGCCAACTTTCCTTAGATATTTAGTTTCAGAAATCTGTTTGTTACCATTTTAAGTCTAACGTTATTGCTGTTCTTTTGTCAAGATTAATCCTTTTTTTTTTACTAGAAATATTGTTATTAACTATTAAAATCTAAATATAAAAAGATTAGTTTCTTTCATGTCTGTAGTCGTTTAAGTTGTGAAACCCATTAGCTTTCTTCTGTCATCAGTTACTTGCTGACCAAAGCAAGCAGGTGTAAAAATGATCTCAGCGATTAATAGACCCGAGTTATTATACCATTCTGAATAGCTGTATGTGAGTTCATAAAATGAAAACTGATAATGATTAGATTATACTGATTCATCAGTTCAGTACTTGTGCTGCTATCAACATCTTTGTATTGTAATCCAGATAGTATCTTACGAGGTTCGAACAGCTTAGAAGATTTAGGCTATTCTTAAGTCAGTATACTGATCTGCTTTGCCAGATTAGTATACTGACTTAAGAATTGCCTAAACTTGTACAAAAATGAACATTTTATTGCTTTTTGTACATTAACTAAACAACTGATAGTTAAATAGTATGTGTTTGTGGTCTCATCTTGAACACAGTGTTTTTTTTTAATTACATGCTGGTTGTTTCATGAAAATATTATTGGAAGCTAAGAGGTAAATTAAAATCTAAAAACTTTATTTTTTCCAGCTTACTGAGAAAACGCTTGATTTTTATCTCCAGGAGGAAGAAGTAGAACAGTTAAAGACAAAAAATTTTGGAAGAAGTAAAAGTTAATGTTCATTGAGTCACACTAGAATGTTATTCTTGTATTTCAGTTTATGATAAGTAATTGTTTTACATGTAAATCTTTTTTGTATGAATTATAAGCTATTTAAAATCTGAAGATGATAAATATGGCATATTTATAATATCACTGTAATTGTTAAAAGAAGTATTTAAAAAAATATAAAGAACTTGATTAGAATGTAATGTTTTTTACATCCTTAGTCATTGGGTAGTTCTAATATCATAACTCGCAATCAGAACTTATACTTAGGCCCATGTACGTCACATTTCAACAACACTTGTTGGACATGTTCAGAAAGTAAGTTCATAAAAAAAATTAATCTAGTAATATCTTTTGCTGTTTTTACTACACATTAATGACTCCCAGAGTCTAGTAATATCCCTTGCTGTTTTCACTACACATTAATGACTCCCAGAATCTAGTAATATCCCTTGCTGTTTTTACTACACATTAATGACTCCCAGAATCTAGTAATATCTCTTGCTGTTTTTACTACACATTAATGACTCCCAGAATCTAGTAATATCCTTTGCTGTTTTTCACTACACATTAATGACTCCCAGAATCTAGTAATATCCCTTGCTGTTTTTACTACACATTAATGACTCCCAGAATCTAGTAATATCCCTTGCTGTTTTTACTACAGATTAATGACTTCCAGAATCTAGTAATATCTCTTGCTGTTTTTACTACACATTAATGACTCCCAGAATCTAGTAATATCCTTTGCTGTTTTCACTACACATTAATGACTTCCAGAATCTAGTAATATCCCTTGCTGTTTTTACTACACATTAATGACTCCCAGAATCTAGTAATATCCTTTGCTGTTTTTACTACAGATTAATGACTCCCAGAATCTAGTAATATCTCTTGCTGTTTTTACTACACATTAATGACTCCCAGAATCTAGTAATATCTCTTGTTGTTTTTACTACAGATTAATGACTCCCAGAATCTAGTAATATCCTTTGCTGTTTTCTACTACACATTAATGACTCCCAGAATCTAGTAATATCTCTTGTTGTTTTTACTACAGATTAATGACTCCCAGAATCTAGTAATATCTCTTGCTGTTTTTACTACAGATTAATGACTCCCAGAATCTAGTAATATCTCTTGCTGTTTTTACTACAGATTAATTACTCCCAGAATCTAGTAATATCTCTTGCTGTTTTTACTACACATTAATGACTCCCAGAATCTAGTAATATCTCTTGCTGTTTTTACTACACATTAATGACTCCCAGAATCTAGTAATATCCCTTGCTGTTTTTTCTACTCCCCCCTGTCTCCAGTACTCGGTACTCTCTACACTGAGCATTTCTAAATAAAGTCCTCAAAACGTCTGGCCGAGATACATTGATAATACATCCGTAATACGGCCTTATGCTAAGAACAAGATTCAAGAATTCTTGAATCAACAGAACTGAAAACATCCCACAGAAGACAAGAAGCTCTCACTTGTAGTTTACTATTGGAGGTGGTAAGACAGTAGATACACGGAACACTAAATAAAACTGATAACAAGCAGAAAGGAAATCACAGACACATTCTCTCACAACACACAGAAGTTATGTAAACTGTATCCAGAAGCCTCATAAAACAGTACGATCATAATTAGCACACACCAAGTCACCTAAAGACAAATGAGAAAGAAACACCACTTATAACATTCTTTGTGATTGTGGACGCCAACACTTATAATACACCTTGTGATTGTGGACTCCACCACTTATAATACACCTTGTGATTGTGGACTCCACCACTTATGACATTCCTTGTGATTGTGGACGCCAACACATATAACACCCCCTTGTGATTGTGGACTTCACCACTTACAACACCCCTTGTGATTGTGGACTTCACCACTTATAACACCCCTTGTGATTGTGGACTTCACCACTTACAACACCCCTTGTGATTGTGGACTTCACCACTTATAACACCCCTTGTGATTGTGGACTTCACCACTTACAACACCCCTTGTGATTGTGGACTCCACCACTTATAACATTCCTTGTGATTGTGGATGCCAACACTTATAACATCCCTTGTGATTGTGGACTCCACCACTTATAACATTCCTTGTGATTGTGGACTCCACCACTTATAACACACCTTGTGATTGTGGACTCCACCACTTATAACACACCTTGTGATTGTGGACGCCACCACTTATAACACCCCTTGTGATTGTGGACTCCACCACTTACAACACCCCTTGTGATTGTGGACTCCACCACTTATAACACCCCTTGTGATTGTGGACTCCACCACTTATAACACCCCTTGTGATTGTGGACTCCACCACTTATAATACACCTTGTGATTGTGGACTCCACCACTTATAATACACCTTGTGATTGTGGACTCCACCACTTACAACACCCCTTGTGATTGTGGACTCCAC